CTTGTTTATTGAACACTAAACCACCAAAATTAAATAAACTGTTAAAGCATGTGTTTCCAGCAGATCAGGAATAGTAGTGCGGCTACAGAAAAGCCACCAGACGTCAGGCAAACTGGGGAGCTGGACAAAACGCAAATGCTTGCTCATGCCTAAACATTGTCATTACTCAATAATGCAGAAAACAGACACTTCCATTTAGCACTTCACTAAGAAATAAAACTAACCATCTGGAAGTGTGGATCCCAAAATACAAAAAAAAACTCCCTTAATAAATAAAAATAATTGCTTGCACTTGCATAGTACTTTTCATCCCAATGGATCCAAAAACATTTTATTTATAGACAGGGACTCAGGGTGACATCCATTCAGCAACAACAGCCCCACTACATGGCAGATTGGGCGGAGAAGTAAGAAACTACTTCACCACTTAAATTAAGGGGAAATGTAGGCAAGCAGATTGTGCACCCACAAAGAGGAATTCAGACAGGACACTGTGATTAATACACCTACAGTACTCTTACAGTGCCTTACAATTTTTAATGACCAGGTAGTCAGCACTTCAGTTCAATGTATGTTGTAAATTACAACCTACTGTTCTACCAAAACCATTTACAGCAGCAACCTGGTTTTCCTTAGAGGTCTCCCTCCCATTACCCCATTACTGTTCTAAACAGCCCTAACTTAGCTCCACCTCTGAGCAGATAGGCTCAGATCACTTAAGATCATCCATCCATTTTCGAACTGCTTTATCAAATACAGGGTCGCACAACAGCTGAAGAATAAATTAAGATCGGTCATATTAAATAAAAAATAAATATAAATAAATTTATATCCAACACCAGCTTAGAACAGAATTTTAATGTATCAGTTTAATTGATAATAAAGACAAACCCAAGCTTTCCCTGGGTAAATGTGCAATAATTCACAGACCCTCTTACGGTCTCTTACAGTATCAACCAGTAAGTTGAAATGATAAAGGCAGAAAGTCAAAGGGCAATTTTTTGTTAGAGGATTATATAAACTGGAATTTCGATGATTCATTAACGTGTGGGTGATAACCCTTGAAGTCATACTGTAGATCTACCACAGATCTTAACAAAACCCAGAAAAAAATACTGTATTTAAATGTCCTGGGACATCTTTCCATCTGACCTACAAAAGGATGCTATGATACAGTAGTCTCTTCAATCAAGGACAGCAAGACAAATTACTCAATGCATCTGTACTACATTATAATATACGTTTCCCTTGGTTCAGAATTAGCGTCATCACTACACTTCTATCCTTCAGGACTTAAACTGAGATCATAGAAATATTGTGAAAGGATTTCGTCCAAAAGAACATTGGGTTCCAGAACAAATCTTCACAAAAATAGTATTCAGATTATGCATTTGTATGAACACACACTGCCTCACCCTACAAAAGCTGATAAAGTACTGTATCTCTTCAAAGAAAGCAACATGTTAATTGTATACAGTATTACATAACATTAGACTACCTAGTGATATTGTTGTTCATACAGCTTTTATGGCATATTCTATGATTTTCTGTTACTGTATTAAACAGACTTTAAAGACTTTTCATATGACATATTCGCATTTTACTATGCTCTGAGTAAAATATATGTTTTACTCCTATATTTCTAAAATAAATTCTTCAGACAAAATGGTTCTGCTTTCATTTTAAAATTAGCCATCACAAGGTCTCCAAAAAACAAGCATATAGAACCATGAAATAATAAAAGAAAGCAATATGACTAACTTAAAAACAGTAAATCCATTTAAGTGGATTTTTCAATTTATATGTTTTACACTTCTTGAAGGACTACAAGAAAAATACATATGAACATATTGTGCCTAATTGTTATTACAGATCATTTAATAATAAATAATATCATGAATAGCTGTTTTTCATTATGTAGAAATAAATTCTGAAACCATCTCCAAATTCAACATCCATGACACAATGGAAAAAATGTATAAGGCTGAATTTGCATGAAAGTCATGCCTTACAGGAACTAACACAAAGCATGGAGCATCTGGATCCCTGGAAACATAACAGTACAGAAGTCACAAAACATTGTCAAGACACAATATACTCCACAAGCTGCTGAATGAAAATCTGAATCTCCTTCACAAAATATAGACAGAATAATATTAATAAAATATACCTTTCTTAAATTGTTTAAGGAATCTAGGAAATTATAATATTGAGAACCTTAATTAATGCAAATGTATTCTAAATTAAAAAGAAATTTTAACCAACAAATCAGTTTAATTAGCTATCTAAGAACTATATTAGATATACCGTATAAGAAGATTACAGTCTTTGGTAAGTGATAAATTATCGTAACAATTCTTATAGCAGAAATTATAATACAGGAACAGTAAGTAGAATAAATAATTTTTTGACTGTTTATTTGATTCTTGGCCTATACTATGACATAACTTTTAAACAGAATATAAAATACGCAGTATAACACCAGGTGCGACAGAAACAGCAAATGCCAAATTGACAGGTTAAAAGGACAAAATCAATTGCCGTGCAAATACCTTTGCACTTCAGTGGACAATGCTATAAAATCTGCGATTTATAGTGAGCCTGAGTTTTTTAACTGTTTTTCCTGTTTTCAAAGCAAACAGAGTGCACACAAGGGGGGTGCACTTCAGTGGTGGATGGGGAGGTTCCTGTCCTGTATATAAACAGTTTATCCTTATAGATAAAATGGCCAATTTAATGCAAGTAAATATTATTATAACTCTAAACTCTTGCAGCATCTGTCAGATTGTGTGTCCCTGGGTAATCCTATTCAGTGGTTAATGACATAACTCAATTTTGACCCAGTAGTCTCTTGATTAGAGGGATCCCTAACCTCAAAGGTCACAGAAAACTTTACATGTTGTGTCACTCAAGACCCTACTCCAGTTTAAACCAGTAATAATTCCTAGCAGAGTAATAGCTCTCAACAAACTCTAATTGTCTGATGGAGCTCCGAATTTGCTTTTTTTCATATCTGAAGCCAGAAGATAAATCAAGATTATGTCCTTTTACAAATGCTTCCCAAAGACGAGTGAGTTCTCATCTATTGGAAGCACAGACAAAGCATGTGTTACTGTGCAATTTATCCTCTCACACTTCATCCAAGATCATTATGTCCAGTACCAATTTCTGTTTGCAATAGTAAACTGAAAATTGCATCATAAATTACCATTTGTCACAGTTTTTCTGTTAAACAGAAAATTGGCCAAATGCAAGTAGGTCAAGACTGAAAAGTAATGTGCTCACTCAAACATACTAACCTTTTATGGAAACCATGATTATCATTGGTCATGGTTTTGTTGCTTTCTTATATACTGCAGAACATATTTACACAAAACATGGGTATTATCATTTAGGACAAAGCCATCCAATCGTAATCCCTTAAACGTACAATAGCATGGCATGCTGAAATTGCCATTTACCATACTCTAATACAAGGGTGTCCAGTTCCGATTCTGGATGGCCTGCGTGTCTGCAGCTTTTCATTCTGGCTCAGGTCACAACAACCCAAAAAACCTAATTTTTGACTTAAGTTTTTCAATTAAGTAAATTATGATAGTTCTTCAATTGCTGGTGCTTTTAAGAAACATAGAAAACCAAACAGAGCTGACAAGAAACAAGATAGGAAACCCCCAGCCTCATACCATGAAGAGAACATCCGAGTACATCATAAACGTTTTGGTTAGAATCCTACAAATTACCATAGGGTAGGGGGTAGGGTTACAATTCTGGTTACACTTAGGCTCAAATCATATGTTTTAGAATATGTATTAGAAAAAAGCAGAGAAAAAAAAGTAGTTAATAAGATTTTTAATAAGGAATCTATAATAGGACTAATGCTTATCGTTACTTAGTTCAGGTGGGTAGCTGCCTCAGCATGTGTAGTCTGCAAAGGAACAAGTAATAGGTTTATTCCATGCTGAAAAGAGAAGAGAGAAACCTCTCACCTGAAGAAGGCTCCACAGCCGAAACGTTGTGTTCTTATTTTTATTTACTGTATGTATGTGACCTAGATTCTGGCATACTATCTAAACTAGTCAAGTTTGCAGACAATATACTAAATGCAGATAATATACTGAAAAGCATAGAACTGAATTCAAATCAATCAAGTTAAATTACATAATGCACTAATAAGGTCTCATTTAGAATATTGTGTATGATGTTGGTCACCATGTTACAGATAAGCTACTGCTGCTCTGAAATTTGTCCATAGAAGAAAAATTAGATACATTGCAGGGCTGTACAGCACAGACACATTGAAGGACCTGAATTTTTATTATGCAAGGTCCCCTTTTTCCTGAATCTTCAATGGCACTGAAAAATTCAACCCAATGACCCTTTATAGATTGAACATGTGAACACAAACCAGGCGACAAGTGAAATATAAGCAGAGGTGCACTTAAAACTGAGAAGAGGGGGTACTTCTTTATCCAAAGAAGGTATTTATAAAGAAGGTAAAGGTATTTAGCATACATGTAAATAATTTTAGTTTTCCAAGCTCTCTTCTTTCTGACTAGTCAATTTATATAGTTGTGTTGCGTTTAGGAAGCTACTGTAGTGTTTGCTTTTATTCTGCGAGACAAGGGATTAATTACCATAAAATGGTCACTTCAGTTGATTCCATTATACAATAATTGTATAGATGTTTTCTTCTGTTGTCAATAAAAACAGTCATAGTTGTCTTCATTTTCCTACATATACTCACTCGTGGAGGCTTGAAATTAGATATATACACTGTCGACTTAATATACCTTTTTCCTGATGAGAAGCAATGTATTTATCTTAAGGCTACTGACAGAAAGAAACTCTACATTGTCCAATTACAATATATTAAATTTACACATAGCCCTCTGCCAACTTATCTGAATGATAACATGCTCATTGTTGTGGGCTTACATGTTGGAATTTGGCAGCCTAAGATTCTGTTTAATTCTATCCATGTGTAGGCAATCAAAAAGTACCTCATCATTTGGAAGCTCTGCGTTTCCATCTTTGTCAATGTCTTTTAGAAGTTCAGCCAGTCTTTTCTTTTCTTCATCTGTCATAAGCACTTGATTCCCTGCATCCTTAGCCATCTGTCATGTTTTTGAAAATAAGGAAATAAGAATAAAAAGTTAATGAAATTTATAACAGTTACAATTCCACTGGCTTCTACTATCACACAGAATGAAAATATTCTAGATTTGATTGCTTGTTTTGAATAGATGTTTTACTTTCTAATTTATCATCTTAATCCAGCAAAGGCCATTTCGAAATACTCATAGTTTTTACATGTGTATGCCACTATAAAACAACCCACTGATACACTAGATTGTACTATGATATTAAAAGATTTTTGTTAAAAAGGTTTATTAAAAGTTGTGTATCAAAAGTTGATATGAAAAGTTTTGTTTGTTCCTTATTGTAAAACAGCATTGAGTGCTAGTATTGTAGTTAAGAAAAAATATTTGGAATACTATTTTATGTAATTTGCATAATCCCATTGTGTGGCCTATTTGATTTGTTTTCTATATGTAGTAACTGATAATGGACTTCTGTGGGACATTTGTGTTCTGCTTGATATTTGTGCAATGCTGAAGATGATTGGTTTGATAAATGCCATTTGAACTGTGCCTTAAAAAATCAACTAGCAGATTGGGCAACTAGAATGGGGAAGAAAATCATGGTAGACTCCAAGAATTCCTCATATTCAGTGTGGAAATTGTTAATCAGTTTAAGTAGAACAGAGAATCATTTAATACAACAATGTTTAAATGTCATGAAATTAGAAAACACACAGATTTTTAATAAATAACATACAATACACTGAAAGGTCTTCTAGCACAGTGATTGGCATTATGACCCTTGAAATACCTCAATATTTTTCTTCACAAAGTCTTGTTTTTTCTTGCCTCTGTTGAAATCACATTGTCCCCTGGCTGCCAGATCTGACTTGTCTTCATCTGGACACACTCTTGAAGTTTCTGTACTTTTACACTGGTTGTCATGAACTGAAATAAGAATCACAGACCAATGTTTTTACTCCATTCTTTAAAACTGTCCGGCACTAAAATAATTCTGTTCCATCTGCTTAGATTAAATGAACTGTCACCTTTTAATTCAATAAAGAAAAAAACAGAAGAGTCTAACATTAGCCTGTCGAGCACATTAGTCCAACATGCACTTCCTCAAAGATACTGTATGTCATATATTAAAGCTATTCATAAAATGTTCTGGTTAGATTAAACTTTTTAGATATTAAACATAATAAGTCATTTTGAGCAATGCAGAAATTTCTAATTTAACCTAATCTGCTACGCATTAATAAACATTTTTGATGTGATTGCAGTCTCTTAATTACTGTATGTGACCCAGATTCTTACTACTGTAAGTGCATTTTTTCTTTCATCTATTTTAAATATTTTAAATGTTCCATGAGAAAAATACATAATATGAGCCCCATAACCTAAAATGAAAAAGAAGATAATTTCAATAAATTAACAAGTGCAGGTTGTTTTGGTGCTGAAAAGTAAAAACAAAGACATACAATTTGAATTAAGCTTTATTCCACACTGAAAAGAAGTATACTAAAGAAGACTGAAGAAATGCTGAGCTTTTCTTCTATGTTTTTATTTTTCAGTGTGGAATTAACCTCTACTTGTTAAATTATTAATTTACTGAAAATGTTACTTTGCAATTAACTGACACACAACATGCATAAAACTGACTAAGACTATTAAGGCTGAGAACCTCACTTATTTGCTGATATGATATTGCCATCTACTGGAAGCCCCTGGAAAGTGCACTAGATTAATGTGCTTTAATCTCTGCCTTTTATTTGAGACACTGCAGCAACAGGATCTCATAGCATTGATTTAATTTAAGCTTCTTGCATCACCATGACCATAATAATTACCTTTGCTATCTTCTCTTTTTTATTTTTTATGGAAAAATGTACCCTTATAAAATATTTAATCCAAAAACTGTATTAGGTGTCATTGAAGTTGAGTTTTTTCCAGAGGTCTGTAAAACGAACTACTGTACAATATTCACAGATACGTTTTTGATATGCAGAGATATCCTGTTCTGAAGAGACAGCTTCCTTACTTTGCTCAGAAGGCTTGATTCTCTGGCCATACTCTTCAACTGGAATTTGTGTATCAAATACAGGTATAAAATCCACATCTTCGCTGGAACCTGAAACTGATTTGAAAAAATAAACGTAATAAATGGATTGATAAGTTAAATCATACATCATATACATTTTTCTTTTTTTACAGACTGAGGTGAAAGTTGCATGCAGAAACATCAAATTTGTTCAGTTGGTTTAGTCCAGCCTACAGTACATCACTCAAAGCAAGAAGCAATAAAATGTGTTCTCTAGGTGACAGAATTACCTAAATATAATTAAAAGATAGAACATTAATAGATTACTAGGTTGACAGAACGGGAAACCAAAGCTTACCAAGATTCTGTGCCTACTTGGCTAAAAATAAAACGACACTCAGATGTTCCCATTTAAATATTAAAGAAAGGCAAAAAAAAACGTTGTTTTAATTAATGTAAATGTTAAAAGATAAAATGAAAACATACTTTTTGAAGAAGTCAAAGCCAAAAATAGTTTTGTATTTTCTGCTTCGTCGTGACTCTCTGAAACCCCTTCCAGCTTTGTACTCTTCAAGGAAAAGAAAACCTCATCAGAATTATTTAATTAATTCAAGCAAAGGCGTATAGCACAGGTTGGCTCAGAAAGACAAGCTTTTTAAATTAGACCTCGTTACCTGTAGTTCTTCCCATAGTTTCAGTCGCATTTTCTTTCCATGTTTCTTCACTTCTCTTTCCCGTGAAACTTTCTGTGCCAGTATGTTGTCCAGCTTCTTCATCTTCCGAATGGCCTTCTGGAGCTCTGGATCTTCATTCTCTTCATCCGACTCATCAAACTTTAAGGAATCTAGAACATTTTATTCAGTTTAGGAGAACAAAAATTGCTGAATGGCATAAGTAAAAAATAACAAAGCTGTTGTAAAATTATAAAACATTCGGCAAATTATTTAATTTTTTTTATGTATGCACACAGTAGGTCTGATTAATACTGTGCTACTTCTATGTACAGTGTATAGCCTCAGAAAAGATAGCATAGCCATCATAGTTTATATTTAACACTATATTTTATTATACATTGAAAGAACACTGTTAAATAAATACAACAAGATAAACAATAAATATTTTCTTACTTTCATCACCATTGTCTTCTAACTCTTCCAGGCTGGTATTAGTTTCTGAAAGTAAAATAAAAAAAACAATACACACCAATACATGAATACTTTTTATGAACTGAAGACATTGGCTTGTCATACCATCATTTTCAAGATCATCTAAATCATTCACTAAGAGAAGCTATATGTAAATTCAACATAACATTATGCAACTAACTCTTCCATTAGAGATTCACTAAACTCCACTACCAGTTATTGGTAAAAGAGCTAATGTAAATTAATCAAATCAGTAACAATCTTTATGTTAACATTTTTCTTTTTATTGAAATACTCACTATCTTTAAATAAGCACTAATTATAATCAAAACTATATTTTTATAATCACTTAGTAACCTTCTGCAATACTTAAGTATAATACTTTAACTTAATACTTTAAGTATATCCATTTAATTTTTTAAACAATCTATCAACATTCTATTAATAGACAGATATCAACAGGTATTACATTATATAACAATTGTAATGATGTTTACTTCAGAACAAAATGATAAATGATTCAACGTAGACTGTTATCATTGTCATCAAGTTGCATGGTCCATTTAAACCATAATTAGTACAGTAACTTTATGGATGACTTACAATAATAGATCCCTTAGTTTATGTAAGATGTCTTAAACCTTCTTAATCTATGTTTCTACATATAAATCTGTTTCCTGCAGAGTGAGTGGTTAGAAAATTATGTTGCAAACTAGGTTAATAACCTACATAACCTACAGCAATCTGCAAGGTGTTTCTCCATTGTCATACTGCAAACCAACTCATATACAGTATACCACCATACCTATGTTTTTACAGGGGGATTTCCCATATATGTCTGAATCTCCCTTTTCTTCAGGAACAAAGCTCATGTGATTGTTGCCTCCTTCTCTGTTTGCAGCAAGATGATCAAACTCAGATCTCAATTCATCATCTAAGCCATCAGAAGAATCTGAAGAGAAGCTAATGTTTTCCAAAACAATCATATTATCCTAAAGGAAGAAATGAAAGGTCAGGCATACAGTAGATTAGTGTTGGCTCGTTTAACTTGCAGCTACTGTATATATCATACATTGGGTTTACAGAACTTTCACTTATTTCAGTCTCATTTTGCCCACTCTGTTACATTTTATGCAACCTGTATTTCTGTTAAATTCTATTAAAAATCTGAAGCAGTTAAAGTAAGCAAACAAGACTGAATGTAGAAAAGTAATTATTTAACGGCCTTCTGTCTAAGATCCCCATGATCTGCACTCTTCTATTAGTACTAACTTTGACAACCTACCATAACCTCCTATCTGGATGAAGTCATTATTGCACTTTTATAGTTTTGTGTTTGATATCAAAAAGTTGATAGACGAGTCAGGTTTAAGAAGAGAAGTTGAATTTTAATACAGTATTGTATAGGTAGCTCAGTGCTTGTTTAACTGCTTGCACAAGAAAGGTGGCGAACTTCGGTCACACACATTGAAGGTGAAGAACAGAAAGGCGGCGAACTGTACCTGCACTTCTGCTGCTTCTGGGGTGAGAACCACCAGAGACCCCGAACTGGAGCTGCTGACCCGACCTCTCTCCTGCAGAGCGGCGCCTGAGGCACGGCTCCCCGGGCGGGAGCGACAGCTAGATGCTGGCCTTGAGATTGCGTCTAAACTGCCTTTCCTGATGTCCATTGCATCCTAACCTGAACACAATTAACTACATTTAAACTTCAAAATGCAAAGAATGTCTAGGAAACAAAAACAAGCAACAACAAAAAAACACTCAAAGATCAGTGGGAAAATCACCACCACTAATGATATAACGGAGAAAGGATGTTTCCTAGATGCCCATTTCATTCTGCTTAAGAGACAACAAATTTGGTGACACAGACGACGGTATTACTTGTCCACAACGTTAAATGAATGGTGTACTTTGTCTTATAAATATGTACATATCTGAACTCATAAACACTATATGTCTGTGGGTATATACATAATTATTTCGTTTTATATATACATTTTAACGTTAAAAAGCTTGTCCAATTCTCATAGAAAGCTCCGGTTCCGGTTAGTTTGGAACGACGAGAAAAACAGAACCGAACCTTCATGCGAGTTATATTATTAAAAGAAGGGAGAAAACAAACCCTGCGACACTGAAATTTCACATTTTACTGAATCAACATGCAAAAATAAACTAAAGTATGGTTTGAATAACAGAAACCCCCAAAACTGTATGTATATTTAAAATAAGCAAAGGTGTATAAAATCCAATGGGAAATGACTTAATCTCCCAAATGATCTCCTGGTGCTGTTTTTAATTACAAAGTAAATTCAAAAATGTTTCCAGGAATTACAACAATGATATAACGTTGTACATTCTGCTTCTTGTTTTTTTCTTCGAAAAGTGCAGAAGCAAAGGTCTTATAAAAATAACAAGAACTGCTGACTTAATAATTGGTAAAACATTCAAAACGTGAAGATCTGCGCAAATTAAAAATACCTGCTTCAATGCCCACAACTTCTTCAGTTGTACTTCTCAGCCAGAGCTCCTGTTGATCCTGTATCCAACGACGCTCAAAAGCCCGGATGTTGTTGCTATTCAAAATATCTAAAGCTTTATTAGCATCTTTCCGTGGCGAGACATTCTCCTTATTTCTCTCCTTATGTTTGAAAATATTCCTGTACACCTTTGAGTACAATAGTTAGTATTTGGCTGTAGTCTCTTTCGGTTTAATATGGTGTACACACTGTCATCCTATTCTTTATAACGAAGGAGCCTTGAGAAATAATGCTTTTGCTGATTTGTTATAGTTTTCTGCTACTGTTAGTCTTTATTTTGATCTTTTATATGTTTTGGCAAATCGTTGTTATATAATTAATAATAATTGCTTACACTTATATACACACTCCACTCAAAGCGCTTTACAGGTAATGGGGACTCCCCTCCACCACCACCAATGTGCAGCATCCACCTGGATGATGTGACGGCAGCCATAGTGCACCAGAACGCTCAACACACATCAGCTATCAGTGGGAAGGAGAGCAGAGTAATGAAGCCAATTCATAGAGGGGGATTATTAGGAGGCCATGATTGGTAAGGGCCATTGGGAAACACCCCTACTCTTTTCAAGAAACACCCTGGGATTTTTAATGAAACAGAGAGTCAGGACCTCGGTTTTATGTCTCATCCGAAGGACAGCGCCTGTTTACAGTAGAGTGTCCCCATCACTATACTGGGGCATTAGGACCCACATGGACCACAGGGTGAACGCCCCCTGCTGGCCCCACTAACATCTCTTCCAGCAGCAACCTTAGTTTTTCCCAGGAGGTCTCCCATCCAAGTACCGACCTGGCTCATACCTGCTTAGTTTCAATGGGTTGCCAGTTGTGAGCTTTAGAGTGATATGGCTGCTGGCTAATATATATATAAATAATCCTTGCAAACTAGATGGCCAAACAGCCACATGGGCTCAGTGCTCACAGATATGGGGTGAGAAACACCTTTCTGTATGTGGACTTCCCAGCAGTCTTCTTTCAGGATGAATCAAGGTTTCAAGGACACCACCATTATATGTTATGTTAATAAGACTATTTTTGTCGTTTGTTAGAGTTCCATCTTTCCATGATCAGAAGGCTCGTATTGCTGGTAAGGATAGTAAGAGCCTATCCCAACAGAATAGGACCCAAGGCAGGGCCAGGACAGGAGGGCAGTTCCTCGCCAGTCACACCAGAACTCTTTAGAGACACCAATTGACTGTTCAGCATGTCTTTGGAAGGTAGGAGGAAACTAGAGCATACTATATGGAGAAAACCCACAGGATAAAAACGCCGTTCTTTAATAATTAGAATTAAATTACATAAAAATAATTTTACCATTAAATTGTTTCCTTCATATTATTTTTCTGAAGCCTTGGCAGTAAAGGTACAAAGTTTCTGAGTATTGATGTTACTCAATGTTTTTAAAGGTTTGTGGGGCGGGTTTAATAAAACAGAGCATACAGTACATGGCATCAATAACATTCAGTATGTGCCAATAAGGAAAACGTTGAGCAGGTTGATTTTGAAGACAGCCTTTGGAAAGGCCCAAGGTCAATGTAAATTCAAGACCCTGTTGTGACCTTTTTCAGTGTTTATTAGTTAAACACTGATTTCATTTGTTTCATGTTATCTGTATTCATCAGACAACATCCATAAACAGGATTCATTATCCCTGCTGCTGTGCAAATGTTTGCCTTCCTTATCTTTAAACATTTGAATAGCAAAGGGAAAATTTATATTATTTCTTAAACCATTTGTAATGCAACAGAGGCTGAGGAGCATTTTATCATTGCTTTTAAGGCTAACTTTGGTGCATTGGCTAGCAGCTGAAATAAACCACACTGTTAGGTAAATTTGTAAGATAAAAGGAACAATTTAATAAATGTACCATACATACTGTAGATACTGTGTCTAAGTATAAATTGAAACATCAGAAAGAAAAAAAAATACAGATAAAAACATTTCAACTACTGTATTGGGCAGCAAGTGTGTTTATATTAATTCAAATAAATATTTGAGCTACTAAAGGAAACATGTTGTGATAACACCACTAGCACTTTCTTTAACACCACCTACGCTTCATAACACCAGTGAGTCAGGTTATTTGTGCTTTATAAAAACATCACAAATGGCATAAATGTACACAAAAATAAAATAGCAAAGCAAATTAGTGAACAAAACAAATTATGAGTATTTCTCCCTTTTATGGTATACCTGTTTTTGTTTTTATTTAAAACAAAATGATAAAGTCCCATTTAAAACATATTCCAAACCTTTCAAAAAGTTCAGCGTTTCATCACACACGTTGCATGCACCTTGTATGGTGGTTTGTCAAGTTGAGTTAGATTACTGGTGATTGAGGAATCAGTCCAGATACTCAGGGGTTAGGGGTTGTGGGGTCATGTTTGACACTTGCTGTCACATTCGTAAACCCCTCCTCTAAAGGATGCTCCAGCCCTTCCTAGTTTAGTGTTCTAGTTCCTGCCCCCCGTTCTATAAAAGCCAGGCATTCCTGCCAATCTGGGCTCAGCATTGGAAGATGGACGCCCGGAAGCCCGCCTATCCGTGAGTCCAGGAGCGACCTAACAGCACAGGCTTTACAACGGTGTCCTGTCCTTCTGGGTCCGGTACTGGAGCATCTGGTCCCATTACCCCCCTTTTATTCCACCAACCATTCGCCGGATCCACCCCGGCTTTTAACTCTGTTCTTCTTTGTCTTGGATGGACCACCTGGCTCTGGACATTTGCTTCGTAAAGGATTTCCCTGTGGACACCCTTTGGACTGTTTGCCTCGGACACACACCCCTGAACACCAGCGCACCTAGAACACGCCCCCTATTTTCCTTCCAGCCCCTTTGCATGCTTTTTTCCCTGTGTTTTCCTCACTCCTCCCCGGATTGTGCTGTCTGCATAGGGCCCTGAAAGAATGCTTTGTGACACTTGCGTTTGAAGTGGCTTCCTATGTAGTGCCAAACACTGCAATGAAGTCTGTGGGATCAGAACAGTAAAAGGCAAGACCAGTAACAATAGGCCTCTGAAGACCTCTATAGGTACTATCTGTGTTGCAATTTTATCTAAACCAAACCATTTCCGGAAGAATGAGGGAGTATAAAGTAGTATTGCTTTAGCAGGATGTTTGCAACAAAGGAACAAGAACAAGTAAAACACCGCCCTGAAAAGTAGAAAAAACAACGTTTCAGTTCATAGCTTTCTTCAGGTGTCTCCGTGTTAAGTTTCTTTATTTCTGTGGCATGAAATTAATCTTTACTTGTTTCTTGGCAAAATTGACATTTTTGTTTTCAACATGCATGCCAGATAGAACTCACAGCACTAAAATTGGTTGAACTAAGAATTCGAATTTAGCCAAGGGCTCCTGTCTTATTTTAAACTCTTGTGGCGGTCTTTACATCATGGACGTAAAAGCACCTGTACTTCCATATTTCAGCTGTCTAGATTTGGTCTAGGTCTCTACACAAAAAACTAGACTAACATTCAAGTAATCCAAAGCTTTATGCACATACGGTAAATAAAAAACACTAAATAAAATATTCAAGTATTATTATTTAGGAGAAAATACCAACAATCTAAAATACCAAAAATACATTTGGATAAACATTTATTCCCATTATGGAAACAGATCCATTACTTGCTTAGGTTTGAGTACAGGATTCTGCATAGACTCTGTGTGACAAATGACTTTTTATTCCAATTGAAAATGTTTAAAAACATTATTGTTTGGCAAAGTTGAAGTTTATGTTGAGGAAAGCCCTTCATTAGAGACATTTCAGGAGTAAGAATATTTTCAGAAGGGTTACACTCCCAGCTCCTCAATCGACTGCTTGCCATTAATAAATTAATTAGAATACAATTAGAACCATGGAGAGAGTGTATATTGCTCAGGGTCCTTTGTTGCACATAAATAAAAAAATATTTAATGTGCTGCTCTCCAGAGAAAACTACTATTACATTCAAGAGTGATTACTGCATGGTCTGGAGGGTAAGTGAATGTTGTTGCCATGGAGATTCTGTTATTCTGCAGCTGAAGAGTGGTTTTCTATGATCATAAGCAGAATGAGCTCTGTTTCTCTTCCTCTCTTTCATGCTTGCTATTAGTAGGCATAAGAGAACAGCAAGAGCTCTTGAATGTATACAAATAAACAAAAAATCCTTCAAATTGAGCCTGCTTTTTCTGAAGTGTTACTATTATCATCATTATTTTTTCTTTGGCTTATTGATGCAACTGTGTTTTCAGAATGAGTGTGCATGGCAGCCAAAGCATGACATAGCCAATATTTTTTTAAGTGCCACCTGAGCATCATAGTGGTGGTGTCACGGATGTCGGAAGGGACGAACCGTAGAATGGCAGGAGAGCGGAAAAGACCCTATGCGTTGTGGCGAAACAGGAATTAGCCTGGGCTCAGCTGTTCAGGAAATGCCATACAGAAACCTATGCCCTCAGGTAGCGGACGTGGGGCTACCTGGTGCTAGGTGGGTTTCAGGACATCCAAACGTCAGTGCTGAGCAAAGGCAGAATGAATGACCTGGAAATATATAGCCCGAGAGAGAGAGAAACATCGGAAGGACAGCAAAGAACCGGAAATGAGAGACAAGACAGAGAAGGAGCGCCCTCTGACTGCAGAGGGCGTGACAGGTGATCTGAAGTCACTTGTTTTTTAGCTCAGCCCAGTCTGTATTACATAATTAGTAATTGCAAATAGTACTGTATTGTGGTCCCCAGACATATATTGTTTTCTGTAATTCTGTAACAAGGAGAGATTCACTTTTTGATTTTTTTTTAATAAGCCTTTCTCTTTGTCATCGCCATTTATGTAAGAATGCAGATATCAGGGTGTCATATCTACAGTATATTGCTAAAATATTTTATCACTAACTCCTGAGTGACTAGTAATGGCTTTCACTCAGTGCATGCCTGAAGTCACTGCTTTGATCCTAGGTCATCCTGTCAATTGCTAACTAATAACTGAGATTCCTATAGCAGTGGAAGAAAACCAGCTGGATGCTGCTCAGGGTAAG